CTGAAGTCTTTGAACTCGTACCTTGATGATTTTGCTATTTTTAGATTCATTTTATTAAGACTTCGTTTGGGACGGCTTTCTTACTACTTTCAAAAGTAGCTTCTTAGTACAAAAATATCTGATTTGTGAAACTTTTTGTGCTAAGAAGACGCCTTAAAAAGTAATAGAAAGCTATCTCAAATAAAGCCTAAATTACATATTCTCAAATGTAACTTGAAATTTAGAAAATTTATCAAAATAAATATATTATTATTTTTTAAAATTTAATTTAAGTAATTCTATAATTTAAAAATACATAAGAAGCTATAGTTGATCAGTATGTTCAACTGTTTAAAAATTATTATTATTTTTAAAGCAGAGTTTTAGCACAAAGTTTTTAAAATTAGGAATTTTTTACTAAAAAACTGTTTTAGAAATAATAAAAAAGCTATTCCAAATGAAATATAAATTATTTTTTTAAGGCATTTGTCTCATCATTTCATGTGTTTGGATATTCATATGCTCCTAATATGGCCAATTAAACTAAATAACTTTCTTCTTTCTTTCATTCTTCCTCGGTCGCTCTAACGTCATTTTAAAAGAAGAATTACGATCAATAAATAATTATATTTTCTTGATTATGAATTATTTAAGAATTTATTTGAGTTGAATGTAGTTTTTTATAAATGTGGCGGAAATTATTAGGGAAATATAATTGATTATGAATTATTTAGAATTTATTTGAGTTGAATGTAGTTTTTTATAAATGTGGCGGAAATTATTAAGGAAATATAATTTTTGAAAGTTGATATGTGTTGCAGGCTAGAATATACGCGGCAGTAGAGTTAGAAAATTTTCGTATGAGCGTTGTACGAATATCTAGCATACACAAACAGAAGATAAAAGAACAACATAATTTTTACGTTGAAAACCCTGAAAAAGGAAAAAACCACGAGACCACGCTCAGTTGAAAGTTCAACTAGTGTAGTTTGAGAAACAAGAGGCTGATTCGTCCAACAAGTTAGGACGATCAGATTACAATGAGTTTATTCTGAATTGGAATTCAGTTACAAAGTCGAGCAGAGTTCCGGCATCACTCGGGAGTCTGGCGGGATTCTGGCGTCGTTCTGACGACGGGAAGAGCTTCGGCGGTGGTCGAGGAGGAGCTGTTCTCTCCTCTCCATCTCTTCTCTTCTTCTCCTCTTCTTGCTTGGGGTCCCCTCTCTTGAGAAATGAGGGGTCTATTTATAGATTTTCTGGAGTGGCATAGCTTGTAAATAGGTGTGAGATCAGGGGCAAATAGGGAGTGGTCGAATGGACAGTTGATATTGAATCCCTTGATCATGCATAGTTCTTCAGACATTTGAAGGTCTTAATGATGTCGGAATTCATCAATCTTGGGCTCGTTAGATTTGTGTTGTAGAGCCGTTTGATTTGAGTATAAGCTCGTTAAAATCAAAGACCGTTTGGTAACTCAAATTTGTGGTATGAACTTTCCAACAGCACTTCGGGTGCTTGATTTGTCCTCATTTGGGCTCGGATTGAGTTGAATTTGGTGTCGTTGGGTTCGTATTTACGAGACGCTCGGTTTGATTATAAGTTTGCTGAAATCAGAGTTCAGGTGTGAGAGCTCGTTCCTTTGATTTTTCCTTTCTGGATCTGATTTTCCTCCCAGGATCGTCCGGGACGATATTGAGATCGTCCAGGACGATCATTGCATTGAAACAGCTGATTTTCTGGAGTGGATCGTCCAGGCCGATATTGGGATCTTCCTGGGACGATCAGATAAGACAAAAATCCCGAGAGCAAGGGTTTTTATCAAATTAATTATCGTCCTACGAAATCGTCCTGAACGATTGAATTTTGTTCATATCGTCCTGGACGATGTGGCGATCGGCCAGGACGATCAGACTTATTTTATAAGGAAATCAGCTCGATTTGAGGAGAGAGAAAAATATTTTATAAAAACAAAATATCTGAGGAGAGAGAAGGAGAAGAAAAGCAAAGGAAAAGCCGGATTTCGGAGGCCGCGGAGCCCTTTTCGTCCGTCGAATCATTCATCTAAGAGTCTCCTATACGATTGTGTAAATTGTTCTTTGTAATATTTATTGTAAATAATGCTCGTTCATCCTTTGTTATAGCAATTGACAATATCTTAACAATATTTATAAATATAAACACCAAAGGATAAATATCATTATTCATAGTCTCCACTTATTTATGAGCAAAATTTTTTACATTCCTTTTAAATTCATAAATAATGCATCAGTTGATCTCACATCAATAATAAATTTTTTAATTTGGTTGTTTAATATGATAAGATTTATATTTGAAAAATCTTATGGATAAAAATTGTTCAGGCGTATAAATTGTTCTTTATTAAAATTAAAAAATAAATCACATGGATTCAAAAATATCACATAAATGAAGTAGTTTTGTATTTATTTTATCAAAATTATAGTCGAGCTCTTGAAATTGTATATCTATCACAATGTAAAATAGTTCAGTTTAATAATGATGTCTATTTGTGATAATTTAGGCCTGACGTCTTGATCCCCCTCACAATCCAAATATATTTGTAATATTTGAAATAATTATGTTATTCTACTCATACAAATAGACTAAATTCTTTAAACAAAGTGTCGCACCCATCAACTCTCATGTTTTGATACTTTAATCAAAGTCAAGACATTTATAATATCTTAATAATTGTTTATCAACATTTGTAATAATTCATTTGTAACTCTAAATACTGCCTTCATTATATGCAAGTTAATAACAAATTCAAAGCTATGTATAAAATCAAGTAAGATATATGCTTTAAAAAAAAAAAAGAGTAAGATATATGCTTCACTTTTTTGTTCATTATTGAATATGTTTTGTATTATTATCTCAAGAACCTTAAAAGTTATAGATCAAAATAGAATAATTAAACTAATAAGTGAATCGGAGTGTGACATGTGACTTATATCTCTAGGTCTTTGAAGAGCAATTTCTTGGTTTAAAACTCTACCTCCGAGTGCTCCTCCATTTTATAATTGCTCAACGATTTTGTTGTATTATTTTTTTCTTAATTAGTACTATAGTTTTTTTATTTTGCATGAACTATCAATAATGTTTACTAAATTAGCAATTGTATTAAGAAGTGAAATAATTTGGACATAGTTTTTAGCCACCACAATTAATGCTAACTTGGATTGATGTGCAAAATAATGTATATAATAAGTTGAATAATTTTCTTTCATGATCAGTATTTTTAGTTCATTAAATTCACCTTGCATGTTTGCTAGCTCGATCGTAATATTATCCATGAAATTTTGCCACGTTCAACACATATTTTTGTGAAAAGTGATTCATGCATTTGAACCTTTTACATGTGTCTGAAAATATTTTGTATTCATGCAAGAGTCTATACTCTATATGTGTTTTTGAAATTGTACATGGGGCTAGGGGTGTCAATTTCGGGTCAAGGGTCGGGTTCGAGTCGAACCCGAAAATGACCCAGCACAATTCGGGTCAACTCGAACCTGGCCCGTTTTTACAAACAGGTCGATTTTATGGACCCGAACTCGACTCGCTTTACGCGGGGGGTGCTCAGCGAGTCAACCTGAACTGACCCGATTTTTGAAACGTGTCGAAAACTCTAACCCGAACCCGACCCGGTTCGGGTTGACCCGAATCCAAAATTTTCGTGTCGGGTTTGAATCAGATTTTCGAGTCGTGTCAATATTGACGTAGGGGTCTATTTGCATGCTTGAAAAGTCTAAATTCTTTCAATAGCTCACCGTGGCATTATAGTTGGTGGCATTTTTGGCACAAAGTGCTCTCAGCTTTTGGCAAATTAAGGCTTCATTTGGGACGATTTTTTTACTGTTTCTCGAAGCAGCTTTTTAGTATAAAAAATAAATTTTTTGTACTAGAAAGCTGCTTCAAAAAGCAGTAAAAAGTCGTCCGAAATGAAGTCTAAATGAATGACTTCGCTAGAGGTGGTGCGGTGGAGTTTCAAGCTCTCTAAGGGAACGCGGTGGCTAGCACCGTAATGCTAGGTTAAATTTATTTTACTTTCAACTAAATATTGTGTACTCAAAACACCTTCATTTTATTGAAGATCTTAATATCCATAATGATTTTAGTTTGGGAAAGTGAAAAAAAAAAGAGCGAAATGCAAAATTGCCCTATCTCTTAATTTTAAAATTAAATACATAAATAGAACAACAGAAGAAAGAAAATTATATTTTCATCACCACAAAAATATATGAAAGAAAAAAAAAAATGAAAACTAACAAAATCCAATCTTAGCAATGCATAGACTATACTTAAGCATTTAGAAATATTCATTAAATCGGTATATATTTTTTATGGTGGAATTTGCACTCAAAGTTAAGTTTGAATGTCATAATTTTGATAAATATTTGGGGCGGATATAATATTTCATAAAATTTTTAAAGTTATTATAGAAAAGTTAAATTAATTATTCTCATTTTAAAACATATTTTTTCATCATATAAATTTCTAAAAAATAATAAGAAAATAACAATAACTTAAAATTATGATTATTTAATTAAAAAAGCAAAATAATTAGAAGGCTGATCCAGAACCTTGATTACTCTAAAATTAATACAGTTGATAAAAATTTAGTTGAAATTTCAGTTTTATTTGGGATAATTTTTTTACTAATTTCTAAATTAAAATTTTAATACAAATTTTTTTGAATGGTATATTTTTGAAGTATTAAGAAAATTATTCCAAACAAAACCTTCATCAATAAAAGACAATCATTTTAATATATTTTTGATCTATATTATTAATACCTTTTATTGACCCTTAATATTCAGTTAAAGAAATTATAAAAAAATTTAATGGATAATTTAAATTCAATTATCAAATAATAATTGTAATCAGAAATTCAATTTTAAATTGAAAAATCTATAATCAAATTCTTAATAAAAAACCAAAATTGAACGTCGACCTAAATTTCTAAAATAAATTGTGTTTAAATTGTATGAAAGTTCAAAGAATAAATTCAACTCAAGTCACTAGATCCTGCCCTAACCTTCTGGTTGCTTGCTTCTCTCTCCTTTAAGGGCTCTATTTCTTAAATCGGTTTAGGTTTCCAGGAACTGGGGAAGGCTTAATCATGGATTCCATTATCCGCTGAAAGAGAAACGATGCTCTCTTTGAGGTGAGTCTGCCTCTCCTTTCAAGCCGAACTGCTTCAGCCTCTCGTTTGTTCATCTTATGTCGATACAGATCATTGATCCTTTTATGGAAATGTTAAATTTTGAAGCAGAGGTTTCTGGAATAAGCATAGGAGAAAGTTATTTATTGCTCTTGGAGCACTGGGAGGTGGTTACGCAATATATAAGTTTTATGACGCTCATAGAAGGAGAGTCACTTTGCTTGAGCGACAGTTGGAGGGGGTTCGAGATGTCGATGAGCTCATTAAGTCTCAGTAATGTTTTTCCCCCTTTTTTTATTTATAGTTTTTCTGGATTCTGTAATTATCAAAGTTTATTCCTTTTATACTCTTACCCCAAATTTGGCTTTGCTGGGAAGGTTGCAGAACCATTTTGAGAACATTCAGAGAATCTCGGACACCACAACGCTACCTTATGCAATGCATTATCTTAAATCTAGGATAGCTGCTGATTTAGATGTTTCTTATTTGACGGAGAAGCTCAGGCAAGCCAAGGGCCAGTATAGCACTCTTACAACGAAGGATAAGGCTGAGTTATGGGAAAGGCTTAAAATTTTAAGTATGCGATCAGTTTTTCGTCCATTCTATCTTCTTTCCGATTTAATTTGATTCAATGTTACATTGTTATGTACTGAATTTATCCAATAGTTGGACTTTGTCTCTGGACAATTTGAATGATTCTGAGGCCTATTTTTGCTTGTTCACTTTCAGGTTTTACAAGATTGGCAACTTCAATATGGTCAATGACGGTTCTTTGTTTATATGTAAAGGTTCTGGTTAACATATTGGGTAGACATCTTTATGTTGATATTGCTCGTGGCTCAGAAAGCTCTGAGACACTAGTAAGTATTTTCAATGTTTGTTGAATGGGAGGCTTTTAATATCTAACCTCACGAACTCATTCTGCCAATTGTGTTTTCTTTTGTGCTTATGTAGCATGAAGATACAGGATTATTAAATCTATTTGTTACAGTTTTGTACCCAAATGTGTTTGGTCCTTTTTAGATAATTACCTAATGATAGCTGTTCAAGTTTTTGCATTAACATGATTGCACCTAGAATTTACTTGTAACTATTGTGATTCCTTATAATTTATTTGCTTTTATTATCTATATTCTTATCATTCAACAGAGTTTTTTTCTTGCTCATCTTGCATTGAACTTCTTTTAGCTTTTATTGGTATTCTATTATTTGTTTAGTAAAAAGACATCAGTGAAAAGATAATGAAGGATAAGTTGAAAATATTCCTTGTCAACATTTCTTGGCATGCTTTACGATTTATTTCTTTAGTTATTTTTTATGAATGCATAGTTTGGGAATGAAATGCTAGTTAAGGATACCTTAACATGTTGCAAATTCATGGGTTTAGGGAACTACATAGTTGTGTCAATGGAATGTCAAATTGATTCTATTCTTTGGTTTGCTAAACTTCATAGTTATGTCAAAGCTCAAGTTTTGCTTTTTAATTGAATTGTACTTTCGTAGCTTTAATTTGTTTTATATGCGTTGAATGCCAAATTGATACTATTCCTTTAAGTTTATAAAACAAGAAGAACAATTGCCAAATGATTAGCATGCGTCGCTCATTGGGTTTTATGCATGATGGTCTAAAGGCTAGTTTGTTTTACTATACGTTTTTGAAAGTTTTTATATCTCAATGTCACATTGAGATGAGTTTCAGGGACAATTGCTTGGTTTGCAGTAAATCACTTTTTGTTCTTGTTTGGGTTTTTTTTATGCACCCACCCTCACATTAATTTTTATTATTTTATAATTATAAGTAAAAGTAATATTCTTACTTAAAATTTTGTTATTTTAATATTAATATATTATCATTAAATATAAAAAAATAGAAGTAATTTCCTATTCCTCAAGATTGAGGGTCTTTTTGGGATGTTTGAAGCTTTTTATAAAGGTGAGTATGAAGCTTTTGTGGGGAAATTAACTTTTTTTTTTTAAGTTGTTGTGGATATTATAAATTTGCACTTTTTAAAAAATTGAACAACTGCTTTCTTAAAGCTATCATACATGAGCAATTTTGGTTGTATAAAGCAGTTTTTCACCACATAAATTTCTAGAAAGCAAAGAGAAAGCAATAGCCAAATGGAACTATGGTTGCAATATGAACACCAAAGCAGCAAGAAAGTTGTCCCAAATTGACTTTGAGACTCACCCCTCATGTTTTTGAAGCGGAGTTTCAAGTATAACAATTCCATTTCATCTACTTTGGATCAAACAGAAGTTTGAACTTTGAACTAGAGATCCAAGTACTTCCGGTTTTGAAAGCTAATGAACCCATCATGTAATTGCATTACTTGTGTGTGGAATAACAACCAATGCTTATATTTCAAGTGCTGTTTAAGATTATAAGCAACTAGGATTATAAGAATAGCAATATCCTACAATTTGTCAATCCTATATATACTTTTTCCTTTTTGGAATGATGCAAAGTGAGAGGCTAGGTTTTGGGAGACTATTGGGCTAATTCAACTCATGCGTGGAAGGCAAATGCTAAACAAATGAAGGCAGGTTTATCATTGTTGTAATTCTATGATGCACAGACACGGACACGGCGACACGGACACGGGATACGTCAATTATTGAAAATATAGGACATGGACATGGGTTGGACACGGTATTATAGTTTTTTATATTTTAAAAATAGCATATAAAAATTGAATAAATATAATTTTAAAAATAATTTAGAAATAATAAGTTATTTAACTATAATTGTGTTAAATAATAAGTTATTTAAGTATAATTTTAAAAATAATTTAAAAATTGAATACATTGTCATGAGTCGGGCGTCGATGTTGTTTATCAGTTATCGAGAGAGGATATGACGATGCTGTCGAGACTCATGAAATGGTGTTATGCAGTAAATATTGATCGTCAATGTTAAAGGGCGTTTATCATCAATGTTCAGAGAGTGTTGGTCGACGATGTTGAGAAGGCGTTGGACAAAGATGAGATGTCAAGTTGTCAACGTAGAAATTGTTAGCATCGAGCATCAATATAAGACATCGTCAGACTTTGATATGGTGATCGTTTTGAAATGTTGATGTTGTAACGATGCCAAACGTCGAAGTTCAGATGATATTGAGCATTATTGTGAAATCAAAGTGGTAACCCGCCAAAGAGAAATGAAAATGAAAATATTCGAAGAATGGGGTATCAAGGGAAGACAATTGATTTGATGTTGTGGATAATAAATAAGAAACATATTTTTTATATTTTTTAAAAGTAAAAATTTTAATTACATGAAATTATTTTTAAAAAATTCATAAAATATTTAGGATAAGCGTGTCGCACACGTGTCCAATTTGTATTTAATATTTTTTTAATTGGACACGTTTTCGACGTGTCTGACACGTGTCAGAGGAGTGTCGGACACGTGTCGTGTCGAATACGTGTCGGACACTGTACGACTCTTTGAGTAGAAGTGTCGGTGCATCATAGTTGTAATTATAATTGCCTCCTTATTACATGCTATGAAAAAATCACCTTGGATTTGTAACTTTGGCATATTCAATTAACTTTTTTAGAAAGTTTATTTTATTGACATATTGGTTAGGCAACATTGTGCTACTTAAAATTAAAAAAAATGTAATATTAATTTGATTTGATCAAAAGAAATCAGATATGATAAGAAATATATTTTGGCTACTTTATTTTATTAACATGTATTTTAACATATGGTCTTAAAAATTGCGGACATTGGCCTTGTTTTGGAATGTGTTACTCTTCGATGTGATAGGCTTTGTTTTCCCTAATGTTTTTTTTTATTTAATATTTGACCAAGTTTTGCTTTGCCCACCAAGCTATTGACACCATTTAAAATATCTAATTTATCAATGCCTAACCCTTATACTTGATGAGCTTGCAAATGGAGAACTATTGGCTTTTGAATGCCATTAGCATCAATGTTATTTTGCCCTCTCATAATGATAATGTTTTTCAAAATGGTTTGTAACTTCACCCTCATTTCCATATTTACCCTACTTGCTACTATTGTCTCATCGATCCCACCATTATTGTTCAAGATGCTTCCCTTGGTTAAAGATCATCTGATGTGTCTCTCTCGTTTACTTCCTCCTCGTGAGGTCTCATCTTTTTAGGAGTAGAGAGAGAATGGAGGTGCAGCAACTCCTATCGAGATATTGTCTGCTTTGGCATAAGGGCCTTACAATTTTGTTCTATTGGTGTAATTTCCCATTTTCCCGGGAGGTCACCCATCCCAGGATTTCTTCGGGATGTGCACGCTTAACTGTAAAGTTTCTTTAATGAAATTCTAACCATTACACAATAGGTGCCTCAATATTTAAGAGTATAGCTTCTTTTATTTAAGCGGTTTCACAATCTCGCTCACTTAAGTAGCCGATATTCTCGTTAGTATCCTTATCCCAGAATCATTCACTGGGCATATAAGATTCTAGAGGTGGCCCCTACAAGTTCAAGTGGTGACTCCCGTCATGTAGCACTTTGTCTCATATAGGGTTCAAGAGGTGGCTCACATGACGTAACACTTTGTCTTGTATGTCACTTAGTTCCCATCTTTTGATTGGTGTATTGCTTTGATACCATTTGTAACAGCCCAAACTTTTAACTATTGAGAGATTGTTCGCTTTGGCATAAAGGGCCTCACAGTTTTGTCTTGTTGGTGTAACTTCCCAGGAGGTCACTCATCCCAGGATTTCTCTAGGATGAGCACGCTTAACTGCGACATTTTTTTAATGAAATTTCAACCATTACACCAAGAGTCGACTCGATATTTAAGAGTTTAACTACTTTTATTTAAGGAGTTTCACAGGAGACCTATGGGCTTGTGAATTACATTAGTATCAATGTTAAGTTGTCTTCTCATAATGACAAGTTTTTTCTGTATGGTTTCCTCCTTTCATCGTAACTTCACCTTCATTTCCATCTTTATCCTATTTGCTACTATTGTCTCATCCCACCATTGTTGTTCAAGATGTGTCCCTTGGTTAGTGATGACCTGTCCTTACCTTCCTCATCCTCTTCATCTGATTAGTCACACTCTTCTACTTTAAATTAGGATTACAAAAGAAGAAGAAAAAGAAAAATACAATATATTTGAAGGATTCTGATAGGAAATACTTGATTCCAAGTATTTCCTAATCACTTTAGCCAAAGATCTCACAGCAAACTGCTGTCCACAGCAGGAAATCAGCCAAAACAGTGGGAAAACACGAGAAAAACGATAGAAACACGAAGTAAGAACTTGTATTTTACTAGAAGATGAAAGGAAAATAGCAAAGATACAAGGATCCTCTATTCGAGAGGAGGATCGCACTCTCCCAATCTCTAGAATATGATCTAGAGCCCAAGTCAATAAGAAGAAACAGGAGAAACTACAAGACAAAAAAACACATAACCCTAAACCTCCCCTTTACTCCCTACTTAATGCATACAATTCAAAATAGACACAAAAGGACCTAATTGCCCTCACTTCCCCTCATTTTGGCTCCAAGAAGCAATTTGAAATTCACGTGGACCCCGCCTCTAGCCTCATGCGGCTTCCGCCTCATGTCCGCCCGCCCTCCTCCTTCGGTAAAACTGAACCGGCCCGTTGGATTGGGCCGGCAGGACCGGTCCAGGGAGGACCGGTCTAACAAATTCATATCATAATTATTCGATAAGTTTTACACTGGTTGTTGACTACCTAACCCAACCCTCCACTTTTCTCATTCAGGACTTGAGACCTGGCAACGACAGTATTTGAAGAAGAAAAAGAAAGACATCAAAAAAATAAGAAGGGGGTAAAATGAGGAGAAGACATGTTGTGCATGATCTAATCTTAAGCAGAGCAAACTAGGACTAAAGGTATTCTTAAAGGTCTTTGTTCAAGCTATACTTGGCTCTAGCCATCTTAATACATTCTCGATTCAAGCTAGGCCTAGCTTATTGATTTTGATCAATTCTCTTGATCATATTTTTAACTATATGTTGATTTCTAAATCCTACATACATATTCGTGGCCTCTATATGAGTTTATACTTCAAATATAATCACATATATTTACAAACAAAAATGCGTAATGCATGCTTATATATTGTGATCACGTCTTGAACTAGTTTGATTCCATTCGGTCCAAGTTTGTTTTGATCCAAGTTTGGTATAACTTAAACTTGGCTTATTCATTTCAGTCAAATTATTGAGATTATAGAGTGATATTTGGCCTTTGAGTCAAATTCTTAGTCTTAGAAGACATTTCTTGTAACTGCTTACTAGCTAGATGATGATGATGAAGGGGAATAAATATTACTAAGAGATTTATGATTGGCTTGTAAAATTACCATAGGTTGTAGCTAGCTAGTTAACCATTAATGACTCCTAATTAACTCCTAAACTTGTAAGTTATTATATTAATTTTGCCATTTCAATCACCTATGATTTTGATTATTGATGTATTAATGGCTTAATAGAATAGGGGAAAAAATGGAGATTTCCACAACATTCTATCCTCTACATTTTACCAGACAACATTATAATTATAATTTTAGTAACTTTACCACAACTTTATTAGTTTATTTCTTTACAAATGTGACGCGACTAAACACAACCAAATCTAATCTTATCGCTGCACCTAGCTAGGCAACATATGTATGTTAGTGCTTCCACTATATGCCACTAGCGTAGAAGGATGGGCCAATGCGTAAATATATATAAGTATAATTAGATATGTATTTATCAAGACGTTTTATGTGCAATGTGTTTGCATAAACAATTACATTTTGGAATCATCTTTATACTTTGTATCCCTCATCGTCCAGTCACATAGTTTTAATGCTCAAGGACCTGACGTTTGCCCATTTTGCTATCAAATGTCCTGTATCCTGGTAAGTTGTTCATGCTTCGTAGGTTTCAGGCTCTAGAGGTTTTAGTGATAACTTCTGTCTGTAAGCTATTTAATTGTAGTAAGGGATGTTGCCTGACATTGAGGCTTAGGTTTTGTTTGGGAAAGCTTTCTTCCTGCTTCTTAAAGCGGCTTTATCGTACAAAAAATTTATATTTTGTATTGAAAAGCCGCTTTAAGAAGCAGGAAGAAAGCTGTCACAAATGAAGCTTTACTCTTCCCGTTTGTTTTCGTTTGTAGTAAATGTTTGGCATATAATCTGCCAGTTATCTTCTGTTAATGGATGATTAATGGACCTGGAAGTGCTTACTGAAGGACGTTTTTATTTTCTCAAAAATCAAAATCACCAATGATGTGGTTGCTTTCTGTGATACAATTCAAGCTAGCTGAAATTTTCAAAGGTGCCCCAGCCTTGTATTTTGGTTTTTGAAATTTGGGGGCTAGGATATAATGGATGAAATTGGATAATTTGCCGGAATAAATCTTTGGTGGAAGAAGTAATGGAGGAGTTGATCAGATGTTGGGTATGAGTAATTTTCATTTCCTACTTTGAACTGGTCCCTATGCTCTAAAGTGGCTTCTTGTTATAGTAATGATCTTTTCCGTGCACTAGAGCATAACTTCCTTAATGGTAATTATAGTCATATAGCATCAGTTCTTTGGTTTTAGGATAAAGATAAGTTTTTCCAGTTTAACAATTTTATTAATCTAAACCTCAAATAAATAATGGCATTATATTGAAGTTACAAATCCCAAATATTCTTTGAATAGGGCCTAAGATATTGTGTTCTAATATTTTCTTTAGGAAATAATGCAGAATGAGCAAGTGATAAAATGACCCCTAGATTTTTTAGGTGTGTTTATTTTAATTCCAGATTTTCTTAGGTTTTCAGTTTGGTCCCACAACTCACCAAATTTGAAACATTTTGGTCTTACCATCAATATTTTGATTTTTTTGATAGAAATTGGAGGGAAGCTTTTCTTGAGGGCATTTTAGATTTTTCAGTATCAATTTAATTAGTTTGAGTTAGTATTAAGTAGTGAGATTGACCCTAAGAATTCTAAAATGTCCTTATGGAAAGCTTCTCTCCATCAATCTCGATTTAAGAAAACGGCTAAGTTGAAGGTAGGACTGATTTGGTGAGTTGGGGACTAAATTGGTGCATAGAAATTTTTTTGACTAAAATTGGCACACTCACAAATTTTAAGGGCCATTTTAGACAATTTATTTAGTGCAGAATTACCAAATAATGGACTCTGAACTCATTACGTTCTTTAATGCTTTCTTTTTTCAGGATGAAGTTGAATCTTTTGGCAGGCATGGTCATCAAGAATTTCTCGCAACAGCCGATTATCTCTCCACCTATGGTATTAGTACGTTAATTATGAACATGCAGAGTGCCGCTGCTGAAGTTCTTAAAGAGTACGTTAATTATGAACATGCAGAGTGCTGCTTAAGTTAGTTTCGAAAAACAGTTTGAGCGATGTTTTTTCACACTATTAGACCAAACAATTTCACACTTTTTGACAAAATATATGTATTAATAAGTTACCGTTATTATAATTTGATTTATGATATCCATCATGTGCAGTAAACAGCTAAAAGACCCCTTCAGCATGGAGAAACTGCATGAAATGATCATGCAAATACTACAGTTGTTTATGAGTATCGAATCGCCAAATTACTGGATAAGTTATCTGGTGCCTGAAAATGCTGTAACATACAGGCAGATGATGGCTCTTCCCTTTAGTGGATTTGATGATACCTCTGCTCTAATGGATGTTGGCAAACTTGAGCAACTGGTGTCAGAAACGTGGGCAGTGCTATCAAGGTACGCAAATTATACTTTCATGGAACAAACTAGGGCTTTGTTTGGGACGGCTTTCTTTCTGCTTCTTTTAGTACAAAATTAAATTTTTTTGTACTACAAAGCTGCTTTAAGAAGCAGAAAAGCGGTCCCAAATGAAACCTGGGTTCTGATTTTGGACTCACCATATATCTTCATCTTTGACAAGTTGTTTGCATCATGACTAAACAAAGAAAATACAGACCTCTTGATAGGATGAAACAATTATCATATCCATGTATTTGTTATGAGAAATTTGTCCATTGGAAAGAACCAATTTTGAGAGTACTTGATTATCCAATGTGAAAGTATTCTACCTCTAAAATTGATTTGCAGTTTCTTCTATTGCTTATGATTTAGTTTTAGGCCTTTGAATTAGGGCGGGTCTTTTTTTTACATATTAAAATGGTCTAATTGTTTGTGAGTTCTCATAGATTTTTTTCAACTTGTATGAATACCCAAATCTTCTCCAGCATTGTTGTGTAAGAGTTAACGTGGCATTAAGGTTTAGTCTTTTTAGAAGTTTGGGATTATAAAATAAAAACAACTTCAGAAAACATCACAAAGGCTGCATTTTGCATTGGGACATGCCTAACATGTTTTCGCTGAATCAGTAAACTCGAATTATTTAAATTTAGTTCATGCTTATGCTAAAACCTTAAAATATTTATTTGGGAAAAAGCCCAAAATAATCCCCAACTATTCGTATTTGGCTATTTTAATCCTACTAGAGTATCGGATTTTTCCAATATATTTTTTTATATAAAATTGATCCTAAATGCCCATCACAGACTAAATTCAGATTAATTTTATATCCCAATTTCTATCAATCTCTACTTGAGGAACAATTATTACATCCTCCGACCGAATGTAGAGGAGCCTTCGGTTTTAGGCAAAAACGCGTCTATACCGAGGTGTACCGAGTTTTTTCAAAAAACTCGGTACACCTCGGTATAGGCGCGTTTTTGCCTAAAACCGAAGGCTCCTCTACATCCTTACACCGAACGAAATAAAAGTTCCTACTTGAGGGACTTTTTGGGATTACTTTTATATAGTTGAGGGATTAAATGGGAGAAACATGATACTCGGGAACAAAATTATCAGCAAATAAATAGTCTAAAGACTATTTTAAGCTTTTCTCATATTGATTTTGTAGTTAACATTTGTAATTTCGTGCTAATTGATTTTAACTTTTTGAATTTAATGTGATATATGATGAGATCAGAAAAACCCTACCTAATTGAATGCTATTTTTTATGCAATGTATGGATCTTGAAGCAACTCAAAATGCCATAGGTTTGTGCTCATTTTCCTTAGAAAAATAATTTAAGAGCCTATACAAGCTCAACATGAAATGAAAACCTAGCCATTAAAGCTGTCTTATCGTAACATCCATCAACACCAGAATCACTCAAATTTGATTCTTAGAGATGAGAATTACTTTTGAAGTATTATGGGATAAGAGGGAATTATGAATTCTCTAAGTAAATTTTATAAATTTGTCTGAATTTTGGTTTGAGAAAAAATCATCACAATAGAAGTGTCAAGATTAAGATAATATGTGGAAAAATTAGAATGATAAATTTAATTAAGAATTATGTTAGATGAGTGATTGGGGTAAGATAATTGAAATAGACTTAAGCTACTTGAATATGTATAACTAAGGATAGAAAATATCTTCATTATATGAGTAGCTAGGGGGTGTCAAAATGGGTTGTGTGTCGGGTTCAGGTCGAACCTGATATTGATCCGCTGCTATTTGACACGACCCGTTTTTGCAAACAGGTCAGAAATTACAACCCGGACCTGATCCATCAGGTTTCCGAGTTGACCTGACCCGATTAGGTCATACACACAGGCACAACGTGGTCGCCACTTGCCCGGGTGCGGCTAGCCAGGCAATGGGTCAGTGACTGAGCGAGGGAGGGGCTGATGGGTGCGGGGCGAGGCCGCGAGGGGCGAAGTTGCTAGGGCAGACTGGCAAAGCATTTCCTACTGAAGCTACTCCAATGGAGTAATGCGACTCTCTCTAATCTTGTTTGCCACTGGAGCTACTCCAATCTTTCCACGGATATACTAGTTTCACATTTTGTCTCTGAGTGTAATTTCACTCATCCACTTGAGCTTTCTTATCTCTGCTACTCTTAATTTAATTTTATGCTTGTCTTTTATTGGCCAATGCTGTAGCATAAAACATTGCAGATCTCACCAACATCTTAGAGAAATTTCCCTTAAGTTTGAAGGTCACTTTTCTATCACACAGTAGGCATGATGCATTCCAAGTTGAATTCTATTAGTAATATCCTCATATATTTCACCATCGTTTTGAACAATAGACCTGGGATATCTAAAATGTGTACTAGTTTTAATGACTTGATCACCCAATATCACAATCCAACTATTAGATCTATTACTACTAAAATTATACTCAATATATTCAGTTTTAGATTTACTCAAATGAAAATATTTAGATTCTAAGATTTACCTAAGGTTATGACGAAGAGATCAATTGTTTATGTATCCTTTTATTTAAGAAGAAGGCAGGCCTATGAACACTGTTTAAACCTCTTGTATGGTGCGTTGGTTTAAATCATGGAAATTATCTTTTTGTTATATAGGGTAAGGCTGCGTGCGTAACCCTTCACCAAATCATTCTTACACACTCTTTTTTTAATTTGGTTGCGTTGAAAAGGGTGAAATTGAAAAATGTAAAGCTTCTCCAAAGCTTTTAGTAAGCCATCTTTTTGGCCAAAGGGAGGGGCAAATAAAAGGTTCTACAAGTTTACATTCAATGCAAAATAAACATTTGATGGTCTCGAGATATATTATCATTTAATACACCATTGTTGTTGCCATTTAGTCGCAGGACTTAGCCGATATTTGGTAAACTCAAATTTGAAAGATAACTAAGCGCTATGAATGATCTTGTTGCGGGCAACCTAAACAGCCTACTCGTGCTCTACAAACAACTACCGGAATTAGCCTCCTGCTCTAGGAAAACTTGCTGGATAGGTAGTGGCAGTCACAGAGAAGGCTAGGGAATCCAGGTAAACCAATTTTGGCGAGATCTTCAACACCATTATAGTTTACACTCCACTCTCCTCTCATAAACTAGGGAACCTAAGACTCTCAGGATATCCTGAAAACAAACTTAAAAAACCTTCCTAATATAATAATAAGGTATTTATAGGAAAACACTTAATTAATTCCCACCCTCCGATTTAAATATTTTATTAATAGATATGACTCCCGTAATTTTACAATGTCAGTAAACAAATCTTTTTGATTTGATGCCCCTTATATGGGCAAACAATTTCTGTAAAGAAACTCAACTCCAATGGCTTAAAGGTCAATTGTGAATTATGCACTTTTATAATCGACCCCATAGATGAAAATTTAAAATTCAAGTTTTATTTAAGGTTTTTTTTATAATCTTGTTGCGTTTTCATTCTCTCCATAACTATTTTTTTTATGCATTTGCGAATTAAGAAATAAAAAGTAAAAGTAAAATTAAAATTAAAATCAATTTCAATTTAATGTGTAGAAATAACTTCCTTAAAAATTTTCTCAGGAGGTAAATCATCTTGTTTAATTTATTCATCAATTTATTGTTTATGACTTCAATATTTATTATAAGCTCATGTTCATGTTCAATTATGGATTTAGTTTCCATTAGAAGTTTAAATTTATATACTAATTATAGTTTAGTTTTAATTATGATTGTAGGTTCATTTTTCAATTTCAAGGATCAGCTTTAAGCCTATATCTTTTTGATGTAGCCATGGATGTTCTTACTAGACATTTGCAAAAGGATGTATGCTAGTGTATGCTTTTTGCTGATGATATTCTATTTGTTGTGAAGACTAGAGAGGGAGTTGAAGGTAAACTTGAATTATAGAGGTCAACCTTAGAGTCTAAAGGTTTTCGTTTGAGTAGATCTAAAATCAAATACATAGAATGCACTTTTAGTAGTAATAGGTCTAGTGGGGTGATTGTGACTTTGGGTGATCAAATCATTAACAATAGTACATGTTTTAAATATCTCGGGTCTATTGTTCAAAGTGATGGTGAAATAGATGAAAATATTGTTAGTAGAATTCAAGTTGGATGGTTGAAATGGAGGAATGCATCGAGCCTGTTGTGTGATATAAAAGTACCAATCAAACTTAAGGGAAAATTTTATAAGATGGTGGTGAGATCTGAAATGCTTTATGGTGCAGAATGTTGGCCATTAAAATCAAAGCATAAAATTAAGCGTCGCAGAGATGAGAATTCTCAGGTGGATGAGTGGCTTCTCTCTTATAAACAAAATGTGAAACAAGTTTATACATGAAAGGGTAGAGTAGCCCTAGTTGCAGATAAGATTAGAGAGAGTCTCCTTAGATGGTTCGGTCATATAAAACTTCGGCCTTTTTATGACCTAGTTAGGAGAGTATATGCATTAGATTTGGCCTGTGTTAAAAAAAGTTGAGGTAGATCTAAAAATACTTAGTTATAAAATATTAGAAATTTTCTTTTTTTATTAGATTTAAATGAGAATTTAACTCTTAACATGACAATGGAGAAAAAAAGATTCATATAGCCGACCCCACGTAGTGGGATAAAGGCTTGATGACGATGATGATGATGTTGTTGTTGTCCATTTTTTAATTTCAAATCCAATTATAATAAAGATGTAGATTCAAAATTGTACTCATACTCACGTATAGTTTTGGGTTCAAATTTTGACTCTTGCTTAGATATATAGGTTCATCTTTAGTTTTAAGAACATGTTCAATTTCTTTTAGATGCTCAAATTTTCTATAGGATTTCATACTTGATTTTTATTTTATGCTCAATTTATGATCCTACCCCACGTAGTGGGATAAAGGCTTGATGTTGTTGTTGTTGTTGTTGCTGCTCAATTTATGATCCTTGTTCATGTATAAGGTTAGGTTCACAATGAGTTCTAATTTAGATAAATATATAAATTTAGCATCATATGTATATCCATATTATAACAATACATAAAAAATAATAATAATAAAAAAATATTATAACAATAAATCATCTTCTGCATTTAAAACTTCATCAAAAGAATTTTTTTGAAGTATAATTTCTTTGATATGATCAAATTCAATTATATATGATTTTTTTGTCATGCATCATATGTACTGATGTAATGGTCATAATATAATGATTGTAAGGAAAAATGATCAAAATGATCCCTTAACTCTTTAAGGACCAAAATGATCCTCAATTATATTAAAAGACCATTTTGGTCCCTCATGTAATTAAAAAGGAATCAAAATAGTCCTTTGTTGGGACTATTTTGATTCTTTCTTAAAAAATTGGGAGGTAAAAATGATACTTTAATATAGTTAGAGATCATTTTGGTCATTCATAAAAAAACAATGGACCATTTAGATCATTTTTTCATGATTATAATTTACCTCACTAATCAAATATATGGATAAAGCATTAGATAGTGTCATTGATAAATTATAACTCAATTTATTTCTACTTTTTCGCTTATGAGTTATGACTATAATGAAATCGATAGTGGCAATTAAATAATCGTGAGGTAAATAATGTTTGGCTATAAGACTTATAAACCTATCATAAGATTAAGCACAATGAAATCGATAGTGGCAATTAAATAATCGTGAGGTAAATAATGTTTGGCTATAAGACTTATAAACCTATCATAAGATTAAGCACAATGAAATCGATAGTGGCAATTAAATAATCGTGAGGTAAATAATGTTTGGCTATAAGACTTATAAACCTATCATAAGATTAAGCACACCAAGTTCATCTTGTTTGTAATGTTTAAATTGTTTATACAGTTAATCATATATTCACCAATAAGTGTGTACAAAAGATACAATCCTAAAGAATTGCTAGATTAAAGTGAAATAAAGAGGAAAACAAAATTTTAGTACAATATGATTACTAAGTAGAGACTATCTATCTAATAGGTGAAGAAAATATGACGAGTTCTCAATTGTGGTACCTTGCTTAGTCTTTTGAATATTGAAAAACTATGGTAACTTTTTTTGTTTTTTGTTTTACTCTTCCCGGAAAAGAGTATATGGAACCTCCTATCAACATGGATTTCAATAGTAAGGTGAACTTACATTGGACTTAGAAAGTTACTTATAATCATTGGTATTGACATACTTATTTGTAGGAGTGAGAAGACAGGATATGTGATATTATCCTTAAAAAGTAAATGTGGTTATGATATCCTTTTAAGGCATAGGTACGATAAGTGGAGGGTTTGAAGGCTCTAATTTAATAGATCCGTCAAGCGGGCACTCCAAATGTTGTGTGCATGTATGAAGTGAAAAGAGTTGAGCCATATCCACCACTAGTGATAATAGATTTTGGTTAATTATCTAGTCCCCCTCCACGTGGACATGATTGTTTGAGTTAAAAATGGATAGTTTTATCAATTCTGGATGAGCTTTAAAGCAATTCAAATATTTGTGACAAAATATTTTGAAAGAGATGTAATGTAGCAAGACACTTTCAATATGCTAATATCCACAAGATGGGTACCCAATCCAAATCTCCTTGTCTAGAGGCAAAGTAACATCCATCTTAATTAGAATCCTAACCACAACAGGTCTAGAAAGGCGAGCGGAAGTAACATCTACTGGCAATGGCTTTGCCACAGATAGAGTCCATAGAATATAATGATGTTTGATTGAAATAATGTAGTTGAAATCAAAGAAAAGAAACCTGAATCAGAGTGATAGGAGGTTTCGTTGATGAGTCAAAGTATGCCTATTTCAAGTGATAGCCTGATAATAATATGATTAGGTTGAAGAAGTATAATAGAATATTCACTAGCCTAATCTAGTTTCGTTGATGAGTCAAAGTATGCCTATTTCAAGCGATAGCCTGATAATAATATGATGAGGTTGAAGAAGTATAATAGAATATTCACTAGCCTAATCTAGCCTAATGCAAGTGTTATAGTCGAGATTGGATCACCTGATCTTTATTCAAATTGGAGAAGGAAAATCGAGGAACTTGCTTAGAAATCTCAACATTAGGGTAAATAAGAGATGGTTTACCCTTATAATATGGAGGGATATATTTTTGATGAGGAGAGTTTCATACGTAATGAAAAGATGATTCAAATTGAGTGGATGAAGCTCAAAGGGAACCAGAAGCTCTTATACCTCCAATAATATCAGCAAAGGATTGTGGGGGCACCATCAGCTTTCAAGACAATGGTTGTAGGATTCTGTATTTTTTGGGGAACGAACTGCAACTTTAGGCACAATAAATTATTGCAGGAGCAACTGAGATGTAAGGAGCCATCAGGAAATGAGGTGCTGACCCAATTAGGCGTTCAACCATAACTCTAGAAGTACCCATGATTGGAGGAGATGTGGTGAACTCTATAAAGCAAACGGCACGAATTGATGAGGGAGATCCAAATCACAGGTTGAGTGGCAACTAAAGCACTGTTTGCTATCTAAGGAAGTGAACAAGCACAACATTAAAGGTGAGATGAGGAGAAAAATTTCATTGAAGTCGCGAAAGTAGATCGAGAGGAAAATGCGATTGTTCATGGAGCAAGATGGACCAAGAGCGGCGACCCGGCTTGAGTGAGAGTGCAAGCAAAGCCGAAGGCTATGAGATGTCGACAAAAGAGTATGCGAGGATGAAGCCAAAATTATGGGGGAATAAGCGCACTCAAGATAGGGTGCTCGACCAAATGCGACAAAGTGCATATCCGTGAGACACTATTAAACTCGAAGCGGCAACACATGTGCAAACACATTAGGCATGCAGCAATGAGGCAAGCTAGGCGAATGCAATAGGCCAAGATCAAGCTAAGGAGCTACAACATTGACAAATAGGAGATGGATGCCCCTTGCACGCTAGCATGGGGCAAGATGGAGCCCAGGAGGCAAGCTCCCCTTGGGCACTAGCGTCAAGCGAGATGAGCTTGGCAAATGTGATGCACTAGTATGTTGTGTTTTTTTTTTTGTTCTGATATTGCTCTTTAAGTTAACATTTTAGATCAACTGATGTAAGTTTAGTTTCATTTGTATTACTTAGCCAAAATAATTGAGCATGTCTCACTAGTTTTGATTTAACACGTCAAATATTTCACAATCAAAGATATAGTACTGTTCTAAACAGTCTTCCAAATTATTGATCTACTTTGAGATTTTGCAAACTTTATTCCTCCCATTTAATATTGGATTATGTAATGTTGAACCCATAAAAAATCATGTCATATTTTTCTAGAATCATATATGTTAGACCGGTCCAGTCTGTTCATACAGGACTGGCTTACGGGAATAGGCTGACAATTCTTCGCCTCCTGTATGCAGGAGTCGACTGCCCACTCTTCGCAGAGCTAATTTGGAAGGATTTCTTAGGGAGTTAGGAGGAAAATTTGAATATAGGGATTGTTTAGAGATTTCCTTTTTTATTATATGCGTTAAATAGTTTGTTTTGCTAGGGTTAGGGCATCTTGAATTAGGCTGAAATTTGAGATCTCTTAGATTTATGTTTTCTTTTGGGCTCTAGCGGTGTCTAGAGATTTGGGAGAGATCAATCCTCCTCTCGAATAGATGATCAATTGTATCTTGCTATTTTCCATTTCCCTTTCATCAAATAATATAAATTATCTTCTGTTTTCGTGGTTTTGTGCGGATTTTTGTGGAGAATTCTTGCTATTTTCTGAAGATTGATAGGAAATACTTGAGATCTACAAGGGTATCAATATCCTACATAATTTCATCTACATTGCATATTTGGTTGTTTGGTTATTTGTCCCAATTTTTATGCCCTACTTCTAGTTGACGTGTCAATGCAATGATAGACTGTGTTATTAAATTTGGTGGAAGATATTTTAGAGTCTAGGGTTCACTAATAAAAGCCTCTTGATGCACAAACAAACACATTAAATTCCACAATTCATTGTTTTCAATATTTAGTCTAGGGAAATGATTATTTTCTTTATAGGCCGAAAAGAAGTACATTTCCCTCTAAACAAATTTTTATTTATTTTTTTCTAATTTTCACAAGAAATTTGAGAATGAATAAAACATTTCTAACTACTTAAGGTTCACACTACAAGAAGAGAATCGACATGTATGAACTTAATGAAACCTCAATCATGCGAGTAAGAGCAATAACAAAAAATTTTTGATGACATAACAAGGAAAACTCAAAATTTTGAATATTCACTAATTCGTAGGAACTTTTGGATTTGAAAGATTTTTCGGGATATCTTCTTACGAAGTTTCGTTATAGCATCTATAATTGCCTCTGGCTTAGGCGGACAGCCTGGCAAATAGACATCCACAGGAATGAACTTATCGACTCCGCGAACAGTACTATAAGAATCAGAGCCTCATGTCAGTACAAGAAGAAGCTTCTCTTAAAAGTTTTCGACAATATTGCATTGCAGTCAAAGAATTACACAAGTTTGAGAGGAAAATATGGTTTTTTTTTTCAACTAGTTATCAAATTATACATTCCTCATGGGTCATATTTATATAACCCAAAAAGAGCTAAAACTAATAGTTTCTTAGAATCCCCCCAAGCTCTTATCAAATACAGAAAATCTGATTCTACTACATAGCAAACAAATTTCTCGGTTCAACCATTGTGCCAATCTCGCATTTTTCAAATTCTTTAACCGAGACTAGCACCTATTAACTTGTTTAAATGTTTCAACGGTTAAATTTATTTAAATTCTTCTGTTTGTCTTCTACCTTGACCATTGTTCCTTACACCATCCTTCTCTTTTCAGCACTGAATTCAGAAACATAACTGAGCTATCTCTGAACAAGTTGGTGAATGTGTTGGTTGAAGAGATCGATATGCAGCTTAAAGGTGGCAGTAGTTCGGCATCAGAAGCCATCCCATTGGTGACCCTTCTCCCGAGAGTGACACAATTAGCCCCACAATTGCTAGATGAACCAAGTAGCAACAAGTTCATTCAGATCATTCAGAGTTTGCCTGAAGTTCAATTTTTTTACACACTTGTGTATTCAAATACGCCTCCACTCTCTTAAAACTTGGTAAAAAGTGAATTAACTGCTGAAATGTAATATGAATTTTATGTAAAATAGTATTTTGATTTATTTTTAGCTGACTCCATTAGTAGAGGTTTTCAGCTTATTTTTATGAGTCATTTGCTGTCCTGCAAAGTTGGGAGAATGTGAAAAGCTCTGTATCTTATTTTTTAGCTGGTTTAGTTTTCAACTTTACCAATTTTTTTTTTTTAAGCTGTGTATCAATTCAGATGATGCTATATATCAGTACATTCAGACTTTGATCTTTGTAAATTTTCAGAGCGAAATCAAATATTTCTTCATCTTTTTGTTTGATAAACATTTATAATATTTTTTTAGGGAGCCTTGTAAAGAAGTTCACTACTATCCTCAGGAGAAATTATTAGGGACGAGATCGGTCGTAGAGGTACGTACGGACTCCAATAAAATATTGACACGTGGAGTGGATACTTTGGATTTATTTTTTTACTTTATATATTTAATGTGTATGTGGATTTTGAAGTTAAGCGCACCAAAAGCCCAGTCAAAACACAGGTAAAGTACAGGTAAAGTGCAACAAAAGAGCAGTCAAAGCGCAACTAATGTACAGGTAAAGCACAACTAAAGTGTACTCCGCACGTTAAATTTTATTCTACGTCTGGTCTCCACACCTAATAATTTTTCCCCTATTATGAGAAATATTTGGCATCTTGATGACACTAACAGATTAATTGAATGAGAAGAATGATTAGTTATCATTATTTTATAAACTGCAATTATATGGCTATTCTTTATGCCTTAGTGTCGCAGTACATACTATGTATTAGTTTTATACTTACTATCAACATACATAGAAATGTATTTGTGAACAGTCAAGTCGATCCGAGTTTGAGCTAACTCGGGCTTGGTTCGTTAACTTAGAGATAGGTTTAAACTCGAGCTCGAGTTGAGCTTATATTGTGTACAATTTTGTATGTAGTTTGGTTTTTTTTTTACATGGTGTGTATAAATATTGTGTATACTCACAGTCCGGATGGGAATTTTTCATCCGGGCTCCGCACAGAATAATTTCTCCATATTGTGAACACGAATTTGGCTTGCCTGAGTTGGATTGAGCCAGAGTTCGTGAGCTTAGCTCGCCAGGTATGAAGGTGTTGATGATGGTAATGGAGAGGTGCCCACATTGAAACTAAAAGAAGAGGTGTTCATTACAAAACAATAATACAGGGCTGGCGGGAGTCCTTCATGTGAATAGTGAAATGGTGGAAGTCAAAAATTTTTATTTAATTTTTTTTTTTATAAATTCTATCCTTCACTTTTAAAGACAAAATTTATGCAAATATCTCATCGCATTTTATTTTTCTATTTTTAATTCTAATTCAATCGCTGACAAAAAATAATAATGTTTATTATTTAACTCAAGAGCTTGTTAATGAGTCGAGTTTGAGTTGACTCACAAGTCTGCTTGGATCTCTTACACCCATAATATTGCCCATATCCAATCATTTCTCTAGGTATACCATCATCACTATAATATTCTATTAAAAACTTTAAGATAAAAAAATATAATGATATATTTTCCTTAAAAAATATAAATGTTTCTAAGAATTTCTTATTTTGATAAATATTGTAATAGCCAACTCGCTTATCTTATAGATATAATTTTGAGGAGAAGTCAGACAAAAAAAATTATATATAATTTATGAATAATAATTTTTTTTTATTTTAAGTTATATATATGTATAATTGTAATAAAAATTTAAAATATTTTAAGAGTAAATAAACTTGATTCTATTAAATTAATTTTAAATTTATTTTTTTTTTATAAATAATTTTGAATAAAATAAAAATCTTTAATTTAAAATAGAAATCAGTTCTTGTAAACTCGAACTAATTCACCCTTAGGGGCTGTTTGGTAGCAGGATTTAGATCAGATTTGAGCGAAATCCACCCAAACGACCTAAAATATAAAACCAAATCTCACAGCAAATGAAAGCTGTCGTAGACAGAAAATTATGCCTTTTCGTGCAAAATCCAGGATTTCATAAATCCTATCTTTTGCCGGATTTATGAAATTCGTTGGCTCAAGTGGAAGAATCCGCTCGTTAAATCTGTTATATAGTCAAACAATCACAAGAGATTTAATAGAATTTATCATAAATATTACCAAACAATTTTCAGAATTTAAGAATGTTACCAAATAGTCAAAATTTAAGCCCTCGAGATTTCCCAAAATTGGGATTTACCAAATCCCTACTTAAATCAAATCTTGGTGCTTGCCGTATGGGGTCAGCGGGTTTCAACGTTCATTATTTCTAGGGTTTAGAAGGTGCCGAGTATGATTTTGATACTGAAAAATGGCGGGGAAGAGCACGCTAGAGCTGGGAGTTGAGGGTCAGAGGCATCTGGAAGAGACCATAAACGCCGCCTTCCAGATTTTATCTTCCATGAACGACGAGCTCTGCAATCCCGTCCTCTGGGCCACGTCGTCCGTCTCACACGGCGGATCTGTTAATGTTACCGCTACCCAGTTTCCTGCCGGCGGCGGCGAGACCTCGTCGGAGATGTCCTCTCACACGCCGGATGCGGGTGGAAGTGGTGGTGGCCTAGGTGGATTTGGTGGCGCGGGAGGCGGTGCTCTTGACGAGGCCCGACTTCGGTATAAAACTGCGGTGGCTTCTCTTCGTGCTGTCCTTGCTGCCATCCCTTCTTCCTCCCAGGTGTGAGTTCAAGTCTTTTTTTTTTTTTTTTTGCATTTTGTCTTCTGCTGTTTTGTATTGTGTTATGCTCAGCTGCGAGTAAGGTAAGAAATTGTTTTCTAGCACTCTTATTGCGAGTTCAGGACAGAAAAGAACGATTTTTTTAACAGGTGAAAGGAAATGAAAAGGAAGAAATTTAGTTTTCTTCGTGTGATTGACCCTTTGATTGGAAAAGAAATGATTTTTACAAAGATAAAACAAAAGAAAGGAAAGAAATTGAACTCTTTTTTGTTTTGCTTGAATTTTTTTCAAGAGAAAAGAAAATGCTTTCCCCTCTTTTTGATTAGATGATAAAGGGAACAAAAATAAAATATATATTTTTTTTGCTTACATTTACACCCTTTTGGTCTACCCTTCCATTCAGCATTCGGTCAAATTATTCTGACTACATTATTGATTGAAAGTAAAAAACATAATTATATCTAATATATAGCTCTTGATATCGGTCAAGACCTCTACAACAACAACCACAATATCAAGCCTTTATCCCACTATGTGGGGTTGGCTATAGGAATCATTTTTTCTCCATTGTGTCTTATTAAGAGTCAAATTTTCATTTAAATCTCATAAAAAAGATAATTTTTAATATTTTTCTAACCAAGTCTTTTTTAGGTCTAACTCTACCTTTCTTAACATAGGTCAAATCTAATATGTCTACTCTCCTAAGCAATTCATAAGAAGGCCGATATTTTATGTGTCCAAACCATCTAAGGCGACTCTCTCTAATCTTATATACCATTGAAGCTATTCCAACCATTTCACGTACATACTTGTTTTACATTTTGTCCTAAGAATGAAGCCACTCATCCACCTGAGCATCCTCATCTCTGTAACACTTAATTTTATAATTCTCTTTTAATGGACAAAATTCTACGCCATAAATTGTTGTAGGTCTCACCACCATCTTATAGAATTTACCCTTAAGATTGAGGGGAACATTTCTAATACACAATAGGCCCGATGCATTCCTCTACTTGAACCATCTAATTTGAATTCTATTAATAATATCTCTATCTATTTCACCATCATTTTGAACAATAGACCCGAGATGTCTAAAAGGTGTACTTTTATTAATGACTTGATCGCCCAAAGTCACAATCCCTCTAAATTTATTACTACAAAAATACAGTCGATGTATTCAGTCTTAGATCTACTTAAATGAAAACCTTTAGACTTTAAGGTTGACCTCCATAATTCAAGTTTTCCTTCAACTCCCTTTCTACTCTTATCAACAAGAAGAATATCATTAGCACACGAGGGTAACTACTCTTGCAAATGTCTAGTTAGAACATCCATGAATAAAGCAAAATGAAATGGGCTTAAAGATGATCCTTGATGTAATCCAACTGAAATAGAAAAATCCTTGGTTAAACCACCTTGTGTTTGAACACAAGTAACAACTTTTGCATACATATCCTTAATGAATTCAATATAAACATTATTAACTCCTTTTTTTTCTAGAACTCTTCAGAGCACTTCTCTTGGAACTTTATCATATGCTCTCTCTAAATTAATGAATATCATATGTAGATCCTTCTTATTCTCTTTATAATTCTCCATTAAACCTCTCAATAAATTTATGGCTTCCATAGTAAATCTACCCGGTATGAATCCAAATTGATTTTGAGAAACATTAGTATCATGTCGTAACTTATGCTTAATAATTCTCCCCTATAGTTTTAATGTATGACACATTACTTAATTTCTTTATAATTTGCACGTACTTCTGCATCACATTTATTCTTAAAAATAGGAATCAACACTCTTTCTTCACTCATCTTGAAAATTTTTAGTCTTCAAAATAATATTGAAAAGTTTTGTAAACCATGAAATTCTTTCATCTCCTAAGGATTTCCACACCTCAATTAGAATATCATCAGGTCCAACAGCTATTTCACATTTCATTTTCTTTAAAATCTCTCTAACTTTGGTTTTACTATTACGACGATAAAAACAAATATCTATACGTTCATTTAGGGTGCTAAAGTTATTAAAGTCAATCGTATTCTCACAATTTTCGTTGACAAGCTTATCAAAATATCTCATCCACCTTGGTTGAATATCCTCTTCTAATAAAAATATTTTTTTATCTTCATCCTTAATGCACTTCAGTTGAACTAGACTCTTACTTCTTCTATCTCTTTGCTTGGCTAACTTATACATACATCTTCTAATATAATATATAATAAGTTCAAGGTAGCATAATCCTCAATATTAAATAGTTGATAGCATTGCTAATAAATTATTGCTTCTATATTGATCCTCAATAATACATAAAATTTTATTGTATTTGTCTACAACCTGCTTTAAGACAAGTAAAAAAAAGATGTTGTTTTGCTGGAATTATTCAAAATGATTTGCGAAGGATAGGCTTAAAATCTCAAATAACTATCAATAGTTTATAAATGAAAAATGAGAGTTCACAAAGCTAACCCCACATAGTTGGGCTAATGCAAATAGTGATGGTGTGTTCAATTCTTTGGAAATTGACTTTGATTGCTTAACTAAGGTAAGATTAATTGGATAATGTTGTGGGCATTGACAAAGACTAGCCTTTGCTGTATTTTTCTGAAGGTTTTCTAACTTGATGGCTTTTGTTGTTTGGGGTAACCATAGGATAGTCGTGATTTTGAGGCTTTAATTTAAAATTCGTTGTAAGAGTAATCTTAAAAAAAAATGTTTTTATTTTTTGGTACTTGACATGTTTTTACAGTAAAAACTATAAGATCTTTACTTTATATTTTTACATGATAAAATCTTGACGCAGATTATCAGCTGATGCTTTGATTGTTATTGAATTATTATTTACGGAGTACAATTCGAAATAACTTTCCATACATTGAACATTTTGATAGGAGAACGGTGCCTTGGAAGCAAAAGTGGATCAAGTAGAGATTGAGAGATTAGAAGAGCGCTGTGCTGTTTTAAGGAAGGTAGCTTCTATGAGCTTACTAGATTCATCATTCATATATCTTTATTGTTCTTGAAGTTTTTGAATTCTGATTCAACCTTGTTTAATTTTCCATTTTATCTGACCAATAAATGCGCATCTTTAGAGCCTTATTTATATAATTCCTTCAATTTGGCTGGAATGATTTTCAGAAATCCAATTAGATTTAGCTATTGTATATCATTTTGGTTCTGACAAACTATTAGGGTTTCACCTGTTCTGGTTGTTAGTTCAATTGTTTCTCTTAATAATTATTATTATTCACAATATGAGATCCTAGTTGAGATTTGATTACTTAAATCAAATTGTTCGAGTTTTTTTGAGCAAAGATGGTTATTTCAATTGATTATTCTCATTAAATACCCAAGTTTAAATTTAAGGTCTATTTGTTTGATAGAAGGTTACTAGGGGGGTTTGGTCAGCAACGTCCAAAAACCATCTATATGCACATCTTAAAACTTATATGGATGCAATCACAAAGCTATATTTAGTATATGGTGCATGTTTATTTGATTGTTTCTTAGAATGCATTCCTTGTTTATGATAAAGTGGTCATGTTGTGATTGAGACACAAGAGAGAGTTTTCCTCTCTAACCTGGTATCTGAGCAGGATTATGGCTAGAACATCACTCTTTTTTCTGAAACCCTTCTCCCCCACATGTGCCCCAACGCCCACCCATGTTTGCAAGCCTTATTTTGTGCTCGCTTGCCTTCACAGTTGAGTGCCCCGCCCTACACTTGCTTTGCTGTGCTCGTGCTCTCTTGTGGAAGATAAGATTAGAGAGAGTCGCATTAGAGAGAGTGATGGTGAAATAGATGGGGATATTATTAGTATTTAGTAGAATTCAAGTTGGATGGTTGAAGTGGAGGAATGCATCGTGTTTGTTGTGTGATAGAAAAGTCCCCTTCAAACTTAAGGGAAAATTCTATAAGATTGTGGTTAGACCTACAATGCTTTATGATGCAGAATGTTGGCCATTAAAAGAGAAGCATAATATTAAGTTAAGTGTTGCAGAGATGTGGATGCTCAGGTGGATGTGTGGCTTTACTCTTAGAGACAGGATACGAAATGAACATATATGTGAAAAGGTTTGAGTAGCTCCAGTGGAAGATAAGATTAGAGAGAGTCGCATTAGATGAGTTGGTCACATAAAACGGTGGCCTTTTGATGACCAGGAAAGTAGATGTATTAGATTTGACTTAGGTTAAGAAAGGCAAAGGTAAACTTAAAAAAAATTGGTCAGAAAATATTAAAAAAGACATTTCTTTATTAGATTTAAATGAAAATTTAACTTTTAATAAGGCACAATTGAGAAAAAGGATTCATGTAGCCAACCCCACATAGTAGGATAAATGGTTGATGTTGTTGTTGTATGAAGATGTTTATGAAGGCTTTGTTGTAAGGTGCCTTGTTATATATATTTTTTATTGATGTTATAGTTCTATTCAGTGAGACATTTGGTGAAGTGAAAAATTCCTATCATGCAAAATCTAATTTGAAAATAAAATTTTTAAGATTAATAGATAAAAACTGTGTATATCATATGTAATTAGTGGGTTTGATATTAAGAATTATTAGTTGATATAATTAAAAGATAACTTAACATAGTAGATAAAATTTGTGTCAAAGACTAGTAATGGTAAGACCGAAAGTAACATAAATAATTAATAAAAAAAAAATTTAAAACATTGTGTGGGATAAATAATAATTTATAAGAACAATCCTAAGGAACCCACCTTTTTTGTAATGCTTATACAACTATGATGATTGATGACTGTTTAATTCTATGCAAAGATCACTTTCTTTCCAGAATATTGCTATGTTGTTGCGCTCCTCAGATTTCCATTGAAATCTTGATTTTTTATTGGAAATGCTTGCTTTTGTGAATTTGGTAATGTTGAGTATTTGCATTTATTTGAGCAATACCGATAAGAATGTGCCTGGCCAAACCGGATGATAATTACTTGAGAGGATCAGATTATTACTTCTTCTTTGGATAAGCTGAGAGCTTATTTTGTTCCTCTTGCTTTAAATGTTATAATTTGGACATGCAAAGTTCGGATTTAGGCTTCGTTTGCGACGGGTTTTCTTACTGTTTTTTAATATAAATTTTTTTAATTAAGAATTTTTGTACTAAAAAATTGTTTTGCCAAACTATTAAGATATTTTTCTTTGATGTTCTTCTTTGTGCAGGAACTTGCAGATAAGAACAAACACCTGAAGCTTCTGATCGATCAATTTAGAAATCTAGTTGCTGATGTTTCAATGTGGAACAGCCCTTTTTCTGTATAAGATGTGATGATTTATGAACTGTGTACTATGGTTAGGTGATTAAATGTAATATCTAACAATAATTATAATTTTAAGAAAATAAATTGGGGTTAATGCATGATGTTGTAGCTAATAATATGGGATGCAAGTGTAAGTTTTTACCATTTATAAGTGTAATTAATTTTATTAAAAATTGAAGAAATTAGCGTCATGATTTATAAGAGATAAATATTATGAGTATGTATGGATCAATGAATTTTAGAAAATTTTTATGCTGAGAAATTTTTTTATATTTAAGATTTAGTTTGAGAAAATTTTCTTACTTATTTTTTAAATATTTTTTTTAAAAAATTGTATTAAAAATTAGAAAGTTTTTCAAGCGAAATCTAAATCTATTAAAATAGTATTTATAAATATATGCTTTAATAAAAAAAATCTTATAATAAAATTAAAAAAGACCTATTTATTTCATCATAATAATACAATTATTTTTATAAGAAAATTGCAATAGCTGCCAATCTGAGCCTCCAGTCTAATAAATGTTGAGCAAAAAATTCAAAAAAAATGATTTTAAATTGATGCACTCTTAAAGGAGGGAAATAATTTCAATCATTAGAACAATTTTGATAAGCATAAAAGCATTATTTTTCTCACCACAGTTATGCTATCTATTCCCATCCACCTAGTTGAATGGCATTCTTGATCTCTCAAGTAGACTAAGGTTTCGTTTGAGATTATTTTTTTATTTTTTTTGAAGTAATTTTAAGTATAAAAAATTAAAATTTTTATAATTGAAAGCTGCTTCAAGAAACAGTAAAAAAGTCGGCCCAAACGACAGCTTTTTTGTTGCTTTCTAAAACATTTTTTAGTACTAAAAAGTCGTTTTTAAAAGCAACAATAAAGCTGTCCCAAATGAAGCAACTATCAAATGATGCTGACGGGCAGCATAACAAAATTTCAGTGACATTCTTGAAGCTAGATGAGGGTGCACAATCTCTTGAAGCGAGCATCTTTGAAATTCCAAAAAATTTCTGAAAAACTGACTCAATAATTTACAATTATCCTGTAAATATCAAGACTTTTAAAACCGGACCGGTCAATGAACCGAAAGGAGAGATTAGAGGTTTGATGGTTCGACCGGGGTCGAATCGGGGTCGAACTGAATGACGTAATAAATATTTATTATATTTAAATATTATAATATGACAAAACTATTTATAAATATATAGCAAAAATTGAAAAAAGTTACAATACTTTAACTTATCTAATAGAGAAATGTTAGTCAAATAAATTCAAACATTTAAATCTAAAGGATATAAACTATATTACCATAGATAATACTAAACCCAATAGTTTTTAAAAGCAGAATCACATCTATTTTCGCTCCAAAAACATAACAGATCTATAAGATCAAAATAAAATCTAAATGGAAACATTGTAAGCAGTCTTGCATACACTTGATTGCTTGTACAATTCCTTAAATAGGTTGCAAATGATGGAACCTTGAAGAACTCAAGGTTGGGAGGATGAGTTTCAGATTTCAAGAATTTTGCTTAAGGTTATAACCAATCCACATGTTGAGGACTTCATAGAAAAACTAGAAAACTAATTATGGAAACCTTTTAGTTGTTGGAAAAGCATTTAGAAAACACACAGCCAAATCATACAAGAGATTTAAGACTACTTGGAAGGAAAGGTACAATGGAAGATAGTTGCGAACAGAGGATTTAATATTTTAATTTATTATGCTTCCACAATGTGCTGCACATTGTTCATGCTTTGGAGATTTATCCAAGTATGCCTTACAAACCAACTAATTGACTTAGCTCAAGCTTATACATGTGCTTATCCTTATGCAGGAAACAAAGAACCTAAAATAGATCAAGATGCTCCTTCAACTGGCCATGTACACATTTTTATTTTTCTTCTTCAAATAAGGGGCTTTATAAGAAATGAGAAAACTTAGTAGTAAATCACTAAATCATCAACTTGAAAGTCAAAAGCAATGTAAATCAAAGGGAACAAGAATAATGAAAGTTGAAAGCAATTTTTTGATTTCATGTAAAAATGAAAGTCGAAAGCAAGGAAGTTGTTTTTTCGAAAAAGAAGAAGAAAAACTCAAAAACTCCTTCAGATTCTGAAACAAACCAGAATGATTTAATGTTTGGACTTGGCTTCGTGAACGATCAGGCACACCGAGGAGATGATGTTGGCTTCTTGCTTCGCGATCGAGCAGAACGAACGACGGAGAGTCGGAGATGGTGTTGGTTTCGGCACTCCGCACGCCGTCGTGGAAGAAGATTGGTCGTGAATGAGGGTTTTTTTTTTCGTCTGGCTTCTTGCTTCGCGACCGAGCAGAACGAATGAGGTTTTTTTTTTTTTTTCTATTTACCGCATAAGCTTCCCGTCGCGAAATCTCGGCCGTTCAATTTGGCTAATCGGCACAGTAACCAAACCGGCCGGTTATCAAAAACCGGAACTGGTTTTCCGGTTCGGCGGTCGGACCGCCGGTTCGACGTCGGTTTTCAGCGAAACAAGTTTTATCTTGGACCGGAACCTGCCGGCCGGCCGGTTCGCAGTTCAACCGGTTGAACCGGCCGGTCCGGTCCGATTTTCAAAACCTTGGTAAATATATTAACAACAGCATGTATATTGAGTAAATTTTAGCTGATAAAACATTCTGTTCTTAGGATTCTCACAAGATTTCAGTCCTCATCAGATAAGGCCAAGAATTAATTCAAGGTTTGCCTATAATAAAGGAAACAAACCACATAGACTTCAAGACAGCAATAACAAACTTTTGTTTTCCTTTTCTACAAGAATCATTCACGCTTATGAAGAATTTGTTTGTACAGACTGAACTACTATAGCATTATATAGCATATTTCCTCTGTATTCATCAATGTGCATGAATAACTTCCATGCACTAAGTACAGTAGCAGATGGAACAATTTTGCTTAAGCTTATTCAACACACACACAAGCAGCAACAGCTTTTTTACATATATATTGCGTAATTTGTACAAAAATGGCTATTGAATGTTATGGAAGCCATCTAATACCAAGATTATTTGTGACTCCAGCAAGAGCTAAATTTTCTCTGGTCTTAAAGTTGATCCTCTTGGAGCCAGTGTAGAAACTCATCATCTTCGACCAGTTCAAAATAATCTCTCAGTCTTGGTATTGCTTCCTCAGCACTTTGTTGTTCAGCCTGTGAACACAAGAATTTGATCTATAAGTTATGCCTTCCATGAGAATGATACGCCTTGGAGACAAAAACAGCAAACACTCGAAAGAAAAACTGCAGAAATATGAATATAAGTGGTTGATTTTTTATTATACCTTCAAAACGAAAGCAAGATACAAGTGATCTATAATTTGATATGTAGAACGGCTCTCACAAACAACCTAGCTACCGCTAGGAAGCACTCACTAAAACAAAACTATAGCAACTCCCAAATCAAATTATGCATAAACCGAAATAAACCCTAAACTTAGCCTTAAATAAGCTTCTCCTACTTCCCTCCTCAATTAGTCCCTTTTTTTCTAATATATTTCTCTCTCCAATTTGAATTTCAATTAGTAAATTCTTACTAATTAATCCCTTCCTAAATTAGCCCACTTTTCCTAATATATTTCCATCTCCAATTTGAATTTCAATTAGGAAATCCTTCCTAATTAATCTCTTCCTTGATTTATCTTCTTAAGTAATGAATTAAAGTTTTACCGGGTCCCACAAAAGGAGCCGAAATATGTCCAGGTTCAGCCCCCCCTTGATCTGTCCCTCCCTGGTCCGGGGTCTACTAGACCAGCCAATCTAGCTCTTCCCTAGTCTGCCTCCCAAGGTCTACTGATGTATCAAGAGTTCAAGACTCCCCCCCAAAAATACCACCTTGTCCTCAAGGAGAAATGAAGGGAATTGCTGCTGAATAATTTGGTAGGACTCCCATGTGACCTCGTGCTCCGGTAGGTCATCCCACTTGATCAATACTTTCTTGTTTCCTGTTACTCCTTGTCCCACTCCTTTGACTTCCAATGATTCCAATAATACCTTCATGTTGTTCATTAAGGCCCGGGGAAGTGAAGAAGACAAAATGTGCTCTCTTATCACCCGTCGCAACTTGGGACACATGAAAGACTGGATGGATGGCTGACGACGGCAATAACTATAGGCGATATGCCACAATCCCGATGCACTCCACTATCTCATATGGACCAAAAGATTGGGGTGATAACTTATCATTTCATATCCTTGCCAAGTTTTTGTCTGTAGGCACGAAACTTCAAGTAAACTCTGTCCCCCACCTCAAACTGAATGTCTCTCCTTTGAGCATCTGCTTTTCTATTCATAATTTGTTGAGCTCTCAACAAATGCCCCTTTAGATCCCCTAAGATCTTATCGTTGTCCTCCAAGTACTGCTCTACTGAAGCTATCGGTGTACTACCTTGTCCATAATATATCAAGTGAGGAGGATCTCTTCCGTACAACACTTTGAATGGTGTAGTCTGAGCTATCGAATGATAGGAAGTTTTATACCAATACTCTGCCGAAGCCAATCATTTCGCCCACAACTTTAATGTATCAAGTATAAAGCATTGCAGATAAGTCTCCACACTACGATTGACCACCTCTATCTGTATGTCCGTCAGAGGATGATAAGTAGTGCTCCTTTCAGAACGATCGCCTACATTTTGAATAATTCTTTCCAAAACTGGCTCAAAAAATATTGTCTTGATCTGAAAAAATCGATTCCGAGATCCCATGTAATCTTACTACCTCCCTCATAAAAACTGTGGCTATTGTTACTGCTGTGTAGGGATGGCGAAAGGGAATGAAATGGACATACTTACTCAACCGACCTACTACCACCAGTATCGTATTGTATACTTTTGACTTTAGCAACCCTTCAATGAAGTTCATGGTCACCTCCTCCCACACCTTTTGTAGCAAAGTTAACGATTGGAGGGGTCCTGAAGACAGATATTTGTGCCTCTGGCATATATCACAGCTAGCCACTATCTTCTAAACATCCTTCTGCATACCCTCCAAATTTCTGCAGAGAGCCGACGATATGCCTTTTTGGCCCCAGAATGCCCCCCAATGGCCGTCCCATGAAACTCCTTAAGCAAGCAAAGAATGTAAGAAGAGATCTTTGGAAGCACAAACTGCCCATAATGAAGCAACTTCTATCCCACCAAAGATTATCCCGAATGGTTGTCCTTATTTTCTTCCAACTCCTCCCTAATTTTCCTCAATCCTATATCTTGTTCGCTCTCCTCTTAGTGCTTCCCAATCAACCACCAAGGGCATAGACAATGCCATCGTCTATGGTTTCCCTAATGCACCTAGATAAACAATCTTCTGCTTTGTTTTCAACTCCAGATCAATACTGAATCTCAAGTCATAGCCTAATAACTTGGAAAGCCATCTTTGATGCTCCTCAGTGACCATTATTTTCTTCAAACTCCTCTGATCAGTTCTGACGACAAAATGTCTTCCCAATAAATAAGGCTATCACTTTTGAATGGACAACATGATTGTCATCAGTTCCCTCTCATAAACTGACTTGAGCCTTGCCTTGTGTTGACCATCGTGCAAAAGCAAGAAGAAAAAATATATATAAAAACCTGCTCAAATATTGCATCCATCCCGTATCTCTATCGTGCCCATACCCGCCGCTTGAACAGTGCCCTATCCCTATGTAACTGCATCGCTTAGGTCCCATCTCACATGTGTTGTGCCTCAATCTCGCTTTGAATCGCGTCGTTAAATACCCGATCAAAACGAAGCCTTCGGGTCTGGATTCCTTTCCATTCGCTACTTGCTCTTACGACCAAAGCTTCTTCGACTCTGCACTCGATGCCTCCCTCGCACGAAAGACCTCTGATATTCCCCATCCCATTGACCGCTAAGTCCGATTCCAAGCCCCGACCTCAATAGTGCCGACCTACCACAAGAGCCCATCGGTACTCCTGCTGCAACCAAGCCGAAGCCAACCTCCTTCGATCCCGATCTCATATCTTGCTCGAACTCTCGGTCCTCCCGATCCACAGAGAGAGAGAGAGAGAGAGAGAGAGAGAGAGAGGAGACCAACCTACCCAAAACTTTCCTCCACCAGTCTACTTCCCTAGCCGACGCCTTCAGCGGTCTTCCCTTCCCCTCGATTCAGAAGTCACAACATTCTGATCGGGAATGACAACAGTAGCTCCCTAGGTGTGAAGGTAACTTTCCCCATTTCGAGCACTTTTTCGGCTTGATTCCGTTAATCCACCGAGCCTAAAAGGGGGAAAGGAAGGATTTATCTAATGCCTGTTTATCGGGATTTAGCTCAAATCCTGTATAGCATCTTCTCGATAATTTCTTTAAAAGATTCTAATTAAATCTTGTCTGAATTAATTAGATTTAATTATAATTAATTATTTTTAATTATGATTAATTAGTTATAATTAATTAACTTTAATTATAATTAGTTCTTTTTAATTAAAATTAATTATTCTTAAACATAAATTACAACAACAACATCAAGCCTTTATCCCACTATGTGGGGTCGGCTACATGAATCCTTTTTCGCCATTGTGTCCGGTTAAAAGTCAAATTCTCATTTAAATCTAATAAAGAAATATTATTTCTAATATTTTCTAACCAAGTCTTTTTAGGTCTACCTCTACCTTTCTTAACATAAATCAAATCTAATACCTCAACTTTTCTTGTACACCAAGGTACATCCTCTAGCAAATGTCTAGTGAAAACATCCATGACTAAAGCAAAAAGATATGGACTTAAGGCTGATCCTTGATGTAATCCAACCGAAATAGGAAAATACTTGGTCAAACCACCTTGTGTTAGAACACAAGTTATAGCTCCTGCATACATATCTTTAATGATTTGAATATAAGCATTATTAACTCCTTTCTTTTCAAGAACTCTCCATAGCACTTCTCTTGGAACTTTATCATATGCTTTCTCTAAATCAATAAATATGATATGTAGATCCTCCTTATTCTCTCTATATTTCTCCATCAAACCTCTCAATAAAAATGTATGGCTTCCATAATAGACCTACCTGTCATGAATCCAAATTGATTTTGAGAAACATTAGTATCACGTTGCAACCTACGCTCCATAACTCGCTCCCATAGTTTTAAAGTATGACACATTAACTTAATTCCTCTATAATTCACACAATCCTATGCATCACCTTTATTCTTAAAAATAGGAATTAACACACCCATTCTCCACTGATCTGGCATCTTTTTAGTCGTCAAATTAAACAAATATTAATCATAATTAATTAAGTTTAATTATGATTAATTATAATTAATTATTAAGTAATCATACATTAAGTATAGTTAATTAAATATAATTATAATTAATTATGATTAATAAGAAATGCAAAGGCCTCTTGTGTCTTGATCTGTGTGCCAACACCGTCGTCGTCGAAGGTATAATCCTTTAACCTTAAAACCTCGAGAGCCCGCTTTCATCATTTGCGGTGGACCGAAAAACCGCCTATACACGCCTTTATTGCGCGTGGTGGGATGGGACCCCGGTGCCGCACCTACGGCGAGGCGGGTCATGACTTTGAACTTGGACAAAATATAAAGATGAACAATCAATAAAGAGTTTGGCTTGAATCATTGTACCAAATTCCTAATGAAGGCTATAAAATGACTATTTCAATTGAAATACAAATGAATAATGATATCAAACTAATCATAAACTATCTTTGAAGACAAAGAAGTTGCAAATGGAGTCTATTTGCAAGCAAGTAAACACTCATGGCGAATCAATTCTCAAAGCATTCAAATGAACACCGATGAATGGACACAATGCTTGTAATAAGCAAAGCTTCAAGAGGAACTTGCAAGCAATCATCAACAAGGAAGAAATGGACATATAGCAACATGTTCATGATTTCTAATATGAAATTTCTTTAGTGGACATAAGGATTTGTCACTTTGATTGGGAGGTAATTGTCATCAAACAAATTTACCATACAAGACTCCTAATCATTTTCATGTAACAATGAAAGACTTATAACATGCAAATCTACTCACCTACAAGTAACAAGCAAGTGACTCATGATAAATGAATATTCAAATGCCATATGTTTGCAAATAAACAAGAATAAGCAATAATCAATTGAATGGGAGAGCCAAGCAGTTGACTGATTTGAGGAAATTGCATCAACTGCGAAGATGTATGATGAG